TCTCTCTCTCTCTCTCTCTCTCTCTCTCTCTCTCTCTCTCTCTCTCTCTCTCTCTCTTAACTCCCCCATGCGAGCGCTCTGAAGTCGTTGGATCCCACTTCACGGGCAGATCTTCATAGGCTCGGTTTGATTGTATTTTTCCGCCATTAGGACCAGATACATAACTTTTGATTACTCAATCGCGGACTCTTTCCCACTCTTGCACACGCTGCCTCACTCACTCTCCTTTTCTCTCCCACTCCCCTTTTCCCACTGACTCTCTCTCTACCAGCGAACTCCTTTTCTCTCTAACAGCCCCACCCTCTCACGGTCAGCATATTCTCTCTCTCTACCTGTGCTCTCCGTCACTCAGTCACAACCACACCTCTGCCCGTTTCGCCCCTGCTATCCCACAGGCAAGGTTACACGTTAGATCTCGAATGCACCTAGTCGTTTAGTGAGTCAGGTGGCTGGTACTTGCTGATAATAAGAAAAAAAATCCCGGATCTGAATTTTGCATTCGAGCCATCTTCGTTCACTCTTTCCCTTTCACTGTCACACTTAGGCACTCAATATCATATAGGGACTCTTTCTCACTTAGCTTGATGCCGATCGAATCAGGACTCGATTGAAGGGAGATATGTGTGATCCGTATCCGTTGCCTTCTGCCCTTCTTGAGTACTCATCAAATCAGGGGGTGCACCGATTTTATGCGCTATGGTGAGGGTGGTCATTCTCCAAATAGAACATACGGCCATCCTGCTTGTATTTGGGACAACTCTCTTCAGGGAGGCCAACTGTGAGTTGTATTTAGGAGGAACAGCTACTCAGCCCGACCCCCCTCTCATATTCCCTCTCACACTCTGCGCTCTCTCTCTCTCGCACACTGCGCACTCTCTCTCCCACACTCTGCACTCTCTCTGTCACTGCACACTCTCTCCCTCACTATGCACTCTCTCTCACTCTGAACAGACCCTCTCTCTCATACTCAGTCCCACTCTATCATATGCAGCCCCTCTCTACCATTCACACGCACTCACACACAGTAGATGAGCAGTGTTCAAGCACGCCCCTGCTTCACCAACTCCAACGCACTGTCCTCCCTTCTCTACGGGCCCAGTCTGCAAGTGTGGGATAGTGGGGCAGGTGAGTGGATAAGAGTTGCAGATACAATAGCTCCTTATTGCCAACTTACGTGTAGCTGCCGATGCTCGATTACCAGCGCGTCAGTCTGTTGACGTCATCATCATCTACTGTAACCACCGGGTCAGCACCAGCGCCCCATGAACGAGCACGGACTCGTGCCCTGCTTTCCCTGCGGTCACAGTCTGTGCGCTGCTGTCCCTCTGGTCATCGCCCCTGCTGTGACAACGGTCGCCTTGGTCACTCCGACCAGGTGTGCAGTCCCCCTCTCTCTCACTCTCCCTCTCTCCCGCAGTCTCTCACTCCCGCTGTGCCTGCTATGTGGGCGGGGGACGCCTTGCATGCTGCTCCCCTCCCCGTTGACCTACTCGGATCCTCCCATGTTGTGGGCCAGGTACACCTTGCATGCTGTCCTCCATCTCTCCTCTGTTCCCCCCTATATTCATTCCACATTTGCTTGTACTGCCGAGACCGTCGGTACCAGGCCCAGCACAGGCTCATTACGGGTGGTACGTGAGCACCGTCCTCGGGTCAACAACTGGGCGTCGTGGTACCAAACCGGGTACAGATGGTCGCAGTGATGGTGCCGGGCCTGAGTTAATTACTTGTGATAGCACCGAACCTGGAATAACCTGCCGTCCAGGTTCCGGGCCTGAGACAGACCACCGCGGCAGTCTCCAGACTTGAAAATAAATCATCCCGAAGCCGCAGAACCTGAAATAAGCTGCCGTGGCGGCGGCGTACATGAAATAAGCCGCCACAGTGTCCCCAATAAATTGTCTCAATAGCACCGAACCTGACACATGCCACTGTGAGGGTGCCGAATCCGGATAATAGTCTGCCGCAGCGGTGCCGGAGCTGAAAAAAAAATCACCGCCGAGCCTGAAAATAAATCACCACTAGGATCCCGAACCCGAAATACATCGTCATAGTGGCTCCAGACCTGAAGGTAAATCACCACAGAGGTCCCGAACCTGAAATAGATCGTCACAGTGCTCCCGGACCTGAGAATAAATCACCACAGAGGTCCCGAACCTGAAATAGATCGTCACAGTGCTTCCGGACCTGAGAATAAATCACCACAGAGGTCCCGAACCTGAAATAGATCGTCATAGCGCTTCCAGACCTGAGAATAAATCACCACAGAGGTCCCGAACCTGATATAGGACGCCGCAGCGTCTCCGGACCTGAAAACAAACTGCCGCCAAGGTCCCAAACCTGGAATAACTGTCATAGTGGCCCCGGTCCTGTGTCACCAAGCCCATACCGTACATGAAGCACGTCAGACACCGCAAGACGTAGCCACTCCGTAACAAGCCTCATATCCGTACCGAATCAAACACCATGGTCGACCCAAGGTAGCACCTGCCCATGCGTCTCCCGCTCTCAGAACGTCCCAACAACGGCAGTGTTAGTAATCAAGCAAACTAGCGAAAGCGATGCAGGAAACCTTGGCCATCGGCAGTATTGAACACTGTTGAAATCCGGGGTCAGAGTTAACGGCGGGTAATCGAGGCGAAATTAGGCCAACCTCCTAATAATCATGAGTTCCCGTCCCTTTCATCATTTTTCATCATTCTTCCTTTCCCTTAATTATATTGTTGGAAATAGTAAATTAACCGTAAGATCCCCAAAATAAAATTCCGAGAAAGTTTAATTAAATGGTC